GTCACAGGCACCAGGCACTATTGACAGTCTGACGGGGGCACTAAAATGCGGATCACAGACGAACTACAATCAAGACAAAACAATTGCTCAGAGCTCTTTTTCGGTCATCGAAAAGATTTCCTAAATAAAGAACTGAACACTGCAATTAAGGAAAATTTAGTTCTGAAATACAGTTCGCTGCATTTCCGCTGGTGCTTACTGTAGTTTATATATAACACTTGATGATCGTCTAACATAGTAATAGTAATATAGTTCTCTCTTCCGCTTATGTGGTTAGCACGAGATTGCAAGACGGATGTAGAACTCCTTCTGATTACACAGCTGAGGCTTTCGGCGATCAATTGTTGTAGCATCTCCAAATGTTATCAGCCGTCCATTCGGAGTTGTGTAAATAATCCACAATAATTCTAGAGTTAAATCGTTTTCGAGTACTGTGGTGTGTTCTTTATATGAAGATTTTCATCGCATTTGGACGAAAGCAGTAAAATGCACATACAAGTTTACCAACGGTGCCTGATGCCTTCGAAAAACCAAATAGGCTAATATAAACATCAAGCATATAGAATGTTGAACAGTTCTAAGCCATATGAGATTGCACAGCCCTTCATCGTCGTGCAATGAGACCACAAGGCTTCAGCGAAGAGCGGGTACATGCAACTTATAAAAGAACTTTAGCACTGTGCCCGGCTATGTGAGTTATACAATCGGACCGCATCACGGTGAATGGAACAACAGTAGGCAATGATACGCATCACTGCAGGGAAGATATCAGAAAAAAAATACGGGATAAATTACTCGGAGCACAGGTTGAACATGATTGTTAGGAGGATTTCACATTCGGGGCTTTTGTGAAAAAAGGTGTGACACCCCGCAGCTCAGAAATATAAGAGGATGCTCAATTCACAGAGACAACAAACCAGGTCGAACATAAGCGCAGGATGCATTCTATAAATGTATGCGTGTGCGTGTGTGTGTGTGTGACGGATGGGTTGTTAGCATACTGCTCAGTTGGGAGGGACGGGGTAGGTAGTCGGATTATAATTTCATACACGAACAGAAATATAGGACAGAAGACGCGAATCACGAGACGATTGAACGCGAGCAATTAGTTATGGATATAATATCCTGATTTGACTACCTGGTTCACGTTGTTCTGAAAACATGTGTATTTGATAAAAACAGAAAAGTTATTAGCTGCTGGGATCTGAGATTGGTACCGGAAATACACGAGGGAATCAAAATGTCAAATGAGTCACAGGGCAGGTTGATGAACCATGATCTGAGGGGACGCATCACAGAATGTGGTAGTGCATTGCCCAATAGAGCAACACACCACGGAAGCACTCAAGTATTGAAGAGACAAATCAAAATGAATACATATTGGCTGGATGCACTCGAAATTCACCATGATAGACAAATGCGACTACAATGCGACTACACCGTTGGTGAAAATTGCTGATCAAGTACCAATACTATATTTATCAAATATCACTTCTCCTCAAACCACTTGGTACTGGTGAGCATTCTGAAACACCTTAGCTGCCCTTTTATGTACAGCGAATTGTCGCGAACAAGGTGTTGGTGATGAAAAGCTTGCCAGCATTTTTTACTGTTGGCCTGCAACGAAAGTACCAAACAAATAAGTTAGCATAGTGATGTCCTATTTGTGCCCCTCGGTATCAATGTTTCAACTTTGTACTATATATATCCCTATGATAATTTATTTTTTAGTTTATTTGTTGCACCTTTTGTGTTGATTTTAGCCATTCACTTTCCAGAGGGTCCACGAAGCATAAAAATAGGAAAAGATGGAGAACGACACGACACAACACATTCACGGAGGATATTGCTGGGGGTTGTTTGATGGTTATACACACGCAAACACATGTCCGTAGGGAGTCAAAGTTCGGCCACAAAGGCTGCAACTTACAGTTCCTCCTTATAGTAATGTAGGTGCTTAATTACCGTAAATCTCTTTCGTGAATTAGAATCAGTTATTTCATTCTCAAATAGAGGGACTGTGTTGAATAGTGACTGATTCACTTTAATTTGCGGGAAAGAGGGAGAATTCTGCAACTTGACATAAAACTGGAGCATAAAACTTATATTTCCGTGTGCTTCTGTTTTACCTGTTCCACTTGAAAACAGTCATTCAGTTTATTTAAATGCAGGAATTCATTTTTTGCAAACGGGTTACTGATCAATTAAACGGTTACCGGACAAAAGAAAGATATAGGGGATTTGAGCACGCGACCTCCGAGGAATTGTGACCATCACCGTTCTTTTTCCATTAACTTAGATGAGAATATTGGTGATAGTGAACCAGTTCGCTGAAACCTAACTCATCCAAGTGAACGGCCGTAGTGAGCAGACCGTCATACCACATGCGATGATGATGGAGCGTTTGTTAGTAATTTGCGCAGATCGGGGAATGATCGACCATCAAGTCTGTTACGCTGAACCCGAAATGAATTGGGTCGTGTGGTGTTAGTCATATTTCCCTACATTTCATGCCAAACGAAAATTGCCAGTGCTATGGTAAGAGTTATGGTCATATCAGATAGATAGCAACTGCCATAAATATAAGAATAAGAGCCATTTGATCACCGGTGATTGTCCCTGAAAATCATCTGCAGATGAAACAGCTTATTAATAACTTAGATAGCAGCCTCCACCGAGGCGTTTTGTAGGCAATGAAACAAAGGTTGTATTCCACTTGTTGTTTATAAACGAACTACATAAAACCCGTGCTGTCTTTGTTTACAGCTGCTTTCTAACTTATGGGCAGTTTTCTGCCATTCATTCAAAGTTAACTGAAAAAGGCTACTAACAATGAAACCTATATTCCCCCTATATTCATCAACCCAGGATTTTCCGGTTTTCTAACAATTATAATGAATACACCATATTTATTTGAATAGTAGGTTTCTCTTAAACGAATTCCCAGACTGAGTTACTTACCGCATCCATGAGGAAGGATGTTGTCCCTGTTTTTATACTGAATTCCGAATGTTTTGAACCGGTAGACATGAATATTCTGTCATTCCTAATAAAAGTTATCTGTTTACCCGACCTGGTTTAATAACAGGTTATCCTGCAGGTTCGATTACAGGAATGCGTTCAGTGTTGAATAAATCCACACACTTGATGGAATCATATTCCCAGATTTCTTTATATGCGTTGCTATTCCAATGAACAAACCAAAAATAAAATTTAAAATACACTCCCTTATAAGTGAACATCAAACATTTTGCCAACTTTAACACCTTTTCACCTGTACGCTATTAAGTTACAGATCCTGTCATTGTCTCCAATTTCCAAAGGGTCCCAATATTCGTCTTCTGTTCAGGCGAGAACAACTTCACTCTGATCAGAATTACGGTTCGTAGTCGCCCTATAAGTTAACTTGCATGCAGTCTACATTTTCGCAACTACAACCTCGTTATTAGAGACCGGTCCCCATTTACGCCTCTGTGCCATGGTTATCAGGAGCCATAAAAAGGATGGTAAAGATTTATGAGTGCTATGTTCAGATGGACATTTAATAGTACTGTTCACTTACCTCCATGCGCGGCCTTTGTCGGATCAGCCACAGCCGTAGCTGCCGTGGCTGCGGCTAGGGCTGCCATAGCTCGAAGAGTAGCAAACTCCCTGGGACCTTTGATTCCCGGTTGTTGCCCCTGTCCCTGTTGTTGCTGCTGGTGCTGGTGCATTTGTTGCATAACATTACGCAGTTTATCCCCGTCCTTGCGTCTGTTGCGTCGGAATATATGGCTACAAGTTGATGTCAACCAGTGCCAACAGGCAGACAGACAAGAACGACTGGGTTTACCGGTAAAATCCAAGGCCAACGTAGAGTGTGAGGTTTCTGAGCAGTGGCGGGGTGTGTATGTAGCAATCTGATGTTCGGCCACGTTATCTGGTGAACCGCGAAAATGCTCGTTTCTCACTTGACCTAGAGAGACTCGCACACTAGATGCTTCGGCCGATGTGACTGGGTCATGTGCTAGCGGGGCGCGGCCGGTCATGCGTACATGCCCCGGTCCCAAACTGGTGTAAGTACCTCGAGATTCGTGACCCACCCGCATCACATTGGCAACGGTGGCGTTGTAGACCAGTGGTTGACCGGGGATCGGTATATCGTACATGTTCTCTAAAGATGGTCGTCGACGTGTATATCGTAAACGAGTTGACGCATTGTTCACAGCTTATAGTGAGAGGGTAAAAAAGAATAAAGACATTTTTCAACTCAAAATATTAGTAAGGTGAGAATCAATAAAAGACACCTTGCACCAAACTATCAGCCTGAATCATCGATTAGTTTCCTTGATTGAAACCATTCTGCCTTTCCCTAACCGTGACTGAAACATATACAGTATTACCTGATCGTGATGTTCATGCATGCACTGCAGTAAATTTCCAGTTAATCCAAAAATTTACTTGTGTCATGCATGAATCCATAGTAAAGCGCTAATACAAGCTGTATACCCCCACTTTCATTATAAACTTTGCAAGTAGAATAAGTTTAATTAGCCAGTTGAATTTAAAGTTAACATTCATAATGATCATAAGAATAGATTTCTATTTACATGGCAGTGATCGTATGCAATTATTTGAATTTAAGCAAAAAGGTAGAGTAACGTTGTTGATGACGCACTGACCTATCGGTGTCGATGTCTCAAACGCAGACATCTTTTCAATGGTGATGGATTGGTTAGCTATTTGATCTTGTTACCCTCAACGTGTTCAATCAGATCGATTGACGAAATGCCTTTATTAGAACCGTGACAGTTTTTCATAACGAATGGGATAGGTTTACGGTACACTTGTGATGATCACGTTTCCTCCACTCAGGAAGGCGTTCCCTGCAAATCATTTTATGCCGTTGATTCGGGGTATCAAATTTCAGGGTTTAAACTTACTAAGCCAATGCTAAATTAGTCGAAACGAAAACAATTTTTCCGTTTGTTTTCGGTATACCTCCTTTTCTTGGTTATGCATAGTAATATCAGTAGTTTGTTCTAGGAAATGAGAAGCGCCCAATTCAATTGATTCTAGTAAAATCCCGAAAAACGGGGGAAGTCAGATAGCGGTGGAGGTGGGATGTGAACATGCGTCCTCCGGGACGACCAATTTATAACCTCTGTTGCAGAGGTTCTCGACATTAGAAGTAAATCATGCTTAGGTGTCTTCTTGTTTACGGTCATAGAGAACAATCCACGTATCAATCCAAGCGTTTTTAGAATTTCCATGCTTTTTGTCTCTCAAATTGCGGATTGATTTATTGATTTCCCCAATGCTTGGTTACAATAAGTCGGTTTTCACATAGTCATTATTTGATCGGAATACCGTGGTTATGAACATCCAACTCTTACCGCGATAATGGATTAAGCCAAAGAGATGGAATATATTTACATATTTTTTATGTGAGTACTAGCCCAGTTTTGTAGTCACACCGATTGTCACTCAGGTTGTCCCCGCTTGGAAGTCCAGGGTATTCTATCTTAAAAAAGCGAGATTGAATCGTTTATTTTGATCGTGACATTGGCTGTCTTGGCTGTCAATTGCAATGCGAGAATGTTAAACAATTGGCGGCGCCAAAAGAGGATAAGCAAAAATCCGTGTGTGTTCAAGGGGACACATCAGCTGAGATCTTTCAAAGAATATTATTCGATGCAATTGATAAGACTTTCTTTGCATCAAAGCTTTGTGTGCTGTTCACGTCCAGACCAATTATGTTGGCGATTGAAAGACTTCCTGACTCTGCGGACTCATTCTGTTTACACTCATTTGTTCCTGTGAAACGTACGTAGGCCGAGCGATTAGGCAACTAACTGAATGGATCAGTCAAAAGCAGCCTGCGTGCCAGGGCATCACTAATGCAGTGGTTTCACACCTAGATGAAACAAATCACACTGTGAACGTGGCCTAGGCTTTCCGAACACTGTATGAAGTTCGTTGGCGATCATCGAGGAGAGCTCGCGGTCAGATGCCAACCACAGCAGAAGCGGTGGGAATTTATTTCTACAGTCCCCCTCTCTGTGCCCAATAGCACGTTTGCAGACACCAAGGTTTCCGCGACCCACCCCCACATACCGCATCATTAGTAATCTCGATGGTTTTATGGGTGAACTGACAACTTTGTGAGTATGGTGGGTCCGTTTCGGGTTTCCGGATGAAATCCGGTCCAGCGATCGATGATCTGATGTGATTTCACTTTATTTTCCCAAGACTGTCTAATTCATAAGTAGTGATATATGTGTATTGTGTGTTGTATTGGCATGAATACAACTCCTAGAAAACGAGCTTATTCGCCACTTATTGCCCTATTTGAAATATGCTCTTTGAAAGTATTCAGATAAAACAAGTATAATCTGTCAATGCTGACCATCTCCAATGGTTTTGTTGTAGTGAAGGCTAGGGCGCGGCTATTTTGAATTGAGTGAGTTGTGGGAAAATTACTGAAAATCGGTTCTCGGAGTTCGGGAGAACTGAATTCCATTTCACCTGTTCCTCGACCTTGGCAAACGTTTTATCACAAACCGAGGCGACATTATCAGTGCTTGTGAAGTGGCCAATTCGAAATGAAATTCAGTTCACCCGGGCTACGAGAACCGATTTTCAATAATTTGTCAGCAACTCATTCAATTCAAAATTGCCGCGCCCGAGTAAGTTGCGTGCGTGTCATACTGGACCTTTCATAGTTGTTGTCCATAGTTGTTTTAGATTTTTCCTGTCTTTTAGATTACTTAGAAGTCCCTCCACGGAGAACCTACTGTCGGGAGTGTCCTATCTGTGCATTGAGAGCATCGGTGATTGACCAGGAATTGTGCGGCTATTTGAGACGACTCTAGTGCTATCAGAACTTTGATTACTTTGCCCGGACTCAACCTCCTGTCAGTGTTTCGAGTGAATGAAGAACTGGGTTCGGTCCAGCATACCACAGTGTGCCCTTTCAGATGCTCATCTTATTTAGTCGAATGGCACAATAATTATCTACCCGCATCAAAGAGTATCACCTACACTGTTTTATACTGGGACTGGCAGTATCAAAAAACAGCTCAATCCTAGCCTTTTGAGGGAAATCAAGCATCAAATAAATCCGGCTGTGGCTTTCAGAGTTGTTTATCGTGTTCCTCTCCCCAAATGCAAGGGTGTTCAACTGCGCATTCTAACAATGACAGAGGCTATCAACATAATAATGTTGACCCCTGACCTCTGTGCCCAAGGGCGTTTGGTCCAGTCACTCATACTTCCACGCCCTGTGATCGATCAGGCTGGATAAGTTACGCCGTCCAGCCACCCTGAGGTTGTAAGCGACGTAAACCAAACAAATGACGGAATTAATGTGACCGTGACAAAATCTTACCCATGCCTGGTGTTGTAGCGTGATTTGTTTTTTAGCGTTACCTATGTAATCTATGAAATAATTGAGAATAAATTACTTATAGCAATTATTTTGACTAATTGCGTTTATTCCAAATACCTTACATAACTAAAATGTTTGAAGAGGCTGAGAATGGCACGAATCAGCAAGAGAATACACACATGAAATTGAACGTAACCATCTAACAGGAAAATAGAAACTCTACCTCTGATAGAAAGGCAATGATGAAATAATCATATGTTGAATTTCATTGTGTACGGATTAAATTAACTGAAAATCTAGGAAGTGTTGTTTCAACCTGGTTGGGTCCCATCAGCAGTGTGAATATGTCGACCCGATTGGGAATGGATTGGATAATTCAGTACCGTTAGTGGAATGAACCATACAGACATAGCATACGGTACGAGAATGATTAATTCATTTTTTCACTTCAATAATGAACCACCCTTTTGCATTCCCATTTGTCAAGGAAAAATTGACGCTAGAAACCGGGAGATGCTATATGGTTATTTCTATCTTGTTGTATCTGATCAGCAGTGTGAATACGACGTCGCACTGGAGGACCACGAGTAGCACAGAAACCTCTGGACCAACTGACCTCAGGGTAACTGCTCAGACTCCCCTTGTCTATGCCGAATATAGCATAGCCGTTTTGAGAAAGCAGTCAGGTTCGGAATGTTGTATACTCAGCCATTACCTTTAGAGGCTGGTGTTATGCTGAACAATTTGAAATGTTTACAAAGGCCTGCAAAGATAAAGCAATTTTCATAATGTATTGAAGACAGAAAGGTACCACCAGCTGCTTGATGGTCATGTGGGTAATAGGCTTGTTTTCTGCCCATAATGTTCCAGATTCGATCCCCAGTTGGGATAGTGGATTTGCACAGTTGGTGCGACCCAGCCAAGTTGGAACATTCAGAAGAATTCAGACGTTTCACATTCCCATTTCCTTCCTTATGTAGGCCACGAAAATCGTGAAAATACGCCGTCTAATACGCCGTCCTGATATGTTAATTGGCTTCCTTATGTACAAATCACGATAGTAATTTGATATTTTACATTTATTAAAATTTTGGTTTGGCAGATTGAATTTTTGTATGGAAGTTATGAAAGTTTCAGTAACCTTGATCGGATTAGAAACCGCGCATGGACGCCGCCTACGCTTTTGTAAAGTTCACACTCTACCAGCTGAGCTACGAGGCCACACTGTGTGACAAAATGAGCTACTGTGTTTGTATGTGGTCCAGGCAGCAGTAATCACAACGGTATTCATCAGTATCATGGTGTGACAAATGAATAAACTTACGTGGTTCATTCACACTTTCTGGATGAGATTAAGTTCACCAAAAACAACTGTGGATTCCAAAGCGACAAGCTGCGGCACAGGGAAGAAGTTATTTCGTCGCCCTTTGGAGTGCCAAATTTCGCGCTCGTTACGAAAGCGATCGCTCGAAATTTTATTGTTTCACACTGCATATCTCAAGGGAATATTGCGAAATATTTGGAGTCTATGGCCCCTAGATTTCTTAGTTGATGGAGGCATCATTTTCAGAAGAATAACCTCTTAGTTAATTAACTATGAATAGAAGAGCATTTTTCCAACGGATAAACGACCGGTTGCGATCTGAAGATTCGGCCGTTTTCCAATCGACGTTTGATTTCTCATTCAATTGATCTCTCTACAAAAAACTATACATTCCTGCCGAAAGCACCTTGGTGAAACTGAATCTGGGCCACCTCGATGTAAAACCGTTGTCATCACTCGGTTGCTCCACAGGTTATACTTGGCTTTACGGGGGGTGGAAGCGCATTTTCGAAGAAAAAAACAAGCGAAACTATGGTTCTAGTTTGTGATAAGTGCGAACCCCCAAGTACAAAAGTACATGTTACTACCGATCTGTGTACTTGATAGAAATTTGTTAAGCACACTACCCTCGCAGGACAGGCAGAGAGCCATCAGATATAAAATTCAATTGAAAAGACCTGATTTCGATGCTAGATGATGAAATTGATTCACTTCTCACTCTGTAAAGGTTTTATTTAAGTAGAGGAGGGAACGGTGGATTTAGCTAACTAATGCTAACTTCCGCAAAAATATTGTGTGGATATCAGAAAAATGTTGCGCACCAGCAATCTCTCTTTTCGAAACTCGTTTGATGGTAATTAATTTAAAGGTCGTCGGTCATTGGGGACACATTGAAACAGCGCACCACACACACTACCGAGAACAATCGTTAACCGTGAACCACATGCAGGCTGCAGTTTAAGCGATCAATATATGGTCAGAAAATACAGGATCTGAGGAAAATAAATGTTACGCACAGCATTGCGCACTAAGAACATTTGTTAGAAAGTCAGTGCAGAACGATAAGTGATAGTGATTTTCAATGATTAGTGAGTCGATTTATTTGAGAACCTAGTGTTATTTCTATTACAGAGGTTTTTGAATGTCTCTCATCATGACTCTTTATTTCCACCAGGTCTGGTGCGATGGATAAACGCAATTTTCTGCGCATCATTGGTGATATCGTGCTTACATTTTTCCCCTTCATTGTTTCTGGAAGCCAAACCGGGATGCGCACGGAAACTCGACAAGCACTTCGCTCTGTCGTGTTGATGTACAGGACCGAGTGACCATACCCGACGCGATAGATGCAGTTAAATTTATTTTGTAGGAAGTGATTGATTCTATCATCGAAGGTGTTGGAAACTGGGCAGTTTTTAAAACACTTATGGGTTCAGCTTCATCAAGCAGATGCACCTTACAGCCGACTTTAAGTGCTCGGTAATGAGCCAGCTGATGTTGTTACCTGTGAAGAGACTTTGCAGACCGTGCTGATCTTATCTATATCTGGAATCTTTTCCCATCTGCAAGTAACTTTGAGTGCTTTGAATTGAACTCTTTCGGATATCCCTTTGGTTGTAATGATCTCCCAAACTGTAGTATACATATGTACACATTCAGCGGAGTGAACGGGGATAGATCGTGTCATCCTTGGTTTTTGGCTTTATATTCAAATTCCTTACCGAGAAATTGTGTTTTCGGCCACAAAGATTGAATGTTATGACTCTGCTTTCCGTATTATATTCACAATAAGGGGTAGTTATATCCAGCAAAATTCAGACGGATTTTCGGTGCTTCCACACTTTACAGTTTTCGCTATCAGAGAATCTTGTTTAATAGTTCGATAATTTAAGGATAGAATATAAAAATTAAATGGTCTCACTGTTGACAGAAAAGAAGGCGTGCAGTGGATCGATGATGTATGCCGAACGGATGATCGTACTCAGCTGGGTTCCGCACATGGCATCGGTAAATGAGAGCATTCTGAAAAAGTCATCATTTTAACATCGATTATTACAAGAACGAGCCACTAGAATCGTGCGACCGGAAATAAACCAACAGTACCGTTGTCAAGGTATTCCATCACCTTATTTTGTCTACGTTTATCGATCGGCTGGAAAAATGCGATCTCGTCATCGAGATATGGCGTGGATAGGAAATGAGTATAGCGTCAATACTAATTCTGTGTAGAATGAAACAAACCAATAAGCCGAAGCAGGAAAAATCGATTCCGCGTCAGATTTCACTCCAGCGGTAAGTCATCAAACCTTAGTGAAACTGAGGTGGAAACTTTTCTCTTTAACTTGAATAGATAACTATGTCAGCGGATATTACATCTAAAACTTGTTTACATATTGTGATTACACCAGCAAACGTACCTCGATTTTGGCTGGCCGCCCTTACACCGGTCACGTGAACATTGGATCTGACATAAGACGATGCTGAGGCAGCCCCATTATTATCATAGGGTGGTGGAGCTCCTCCTTGTGTTCGATCCCTGGATGCTCTGCCACGACTAAACCCCGCTTCATGTGTTGCTGCTCCTTTGCTAGGACTTGACGCAGGCAGAAGTACCTCTCCACTCACCGTGGTCACCGTTGTAGAACTGCGAGGCAAACCGCGACTGGGATAGAACTCATCTGAGTCCTTACTGTCTTGGCGCAACGGTCCCCCTTTTACTCCTCTTTGTGCCTTTCCATTGGTCTCAGGTCTGGATTTATCAGCCTCGTCCAGATCTGATGGTCCCGCTTCACCACTGGTAGCACCTCGCCGGATAGCGTTCCGTGCAGCTGAAACCAGAGCAAGCAGTTCCAAGTGAGTGATAATCAACACTGTGGACTATCACGGCACACATTCGCGGGCTTTGAAAACGCTGGAGGAGCGGGGAAATTTGGACAGACACGAGGCACGAGGCACGAGGGGTGAGATGGCGCAATATATTTGCACAAAGCCTGGCATGCATCACCAATTCCAATCGAGAGTAATGGAATTCGAAATTTCAGTTCACGCAAGTGCATTTAGCTCTAGGCACAAAAATAACCGGTCACATAGTTGACACATACACAATCCGTCGAAAACTAAGATAGCACAACATCGTGTAAAACTGCATGCAGGCGGGGAAATAGACAGATGAAAATATTCACCAGCTGGAGAAATAAACCAGCGTTGTGCAACTGAAAATTTCTTTCGTATTTTTTTTTCACGCAGTGAATTGTTAGGCACTGGACTGAGACAAAATCATCGAGTGAACTGCTCCCGATTGTGCAGCATCAATGTGCTGCTCCTCAGTCGACTGAGTAACATTCGCATCAGATCATTTATATTATACCAAATAGTGGGGTATACTCTTAACTGACCTATTTATGCATTAAAAATTAGATGCGCGCAATTCGACCGGGCATTCGATTTCGTTCAATCTACCCCCACTAACTAATGAAAAGGGTTCTCGTTTCAATCAGGCTAGTCCCAAAGTGGTAAGATCGAACACGCAAGCGGTACATATAGTTAACAGCAATTTGATCAACCAATCTTGAAGGGATTTAGTGATACAGGTTTACAAAAAACAAGCACAATCGTACTGTGAAGTTTGAAAAACATTTTATCCCTGATAGGTTGCATTTCATCAAGTTTCTAGTCTGACTCAGTAATCAATGAAAAAAATACTTGAGCAGTTTATTCACGGCATCAAGTTCGATTTGGCGGTTTATCGATTGAATTATAAATACACATGGATGGTGGTTCTCTTTAGTCTTGCGAACATACATGACATCGGATAACGTGTGTGTATGCACGGGTTAGTAACGGAATACATTTGTTCTTCACCATAAAATACATTTAAACGACAAAGAACATCAAAATTGTTTACTCAGATGCACGTGTGTGTGTGTGTGTGTGTAATTCTCTTAAACATTTATGTGTGCTCTAGGTGAACGAAGTGACAAATTAGAAATAAAAAATTGACAAATTGAAAATTATCACCGTGAGCTGACAGAGGGATAGAATAGATGAAATATGGGGCTTGTTAGCCAGTTCAATTCGGGTTGTGTGATGAGACAAAATTTTTAGCTATCACAGTGAATTATTTTTTGTTGATGGGGGGTATGTTTGTGTTTTTATGTTTCACAAAACAGACATTTATTTTGAAGTTTGGTAGAGCGCAACTATCGGATGTTTTGCAAGCTACTGGATTGTAGGTAAGAGAAAAACAAACAAAAAATGGTTCGATAAACATCGATAATGAATTTTCCGCGTTATTCGGTTAAAATCAAAGTTAAAGGTCTGGGAAGATATTCGCTGAGTTCAGCATTCAGTGAGCATAAAACGTTCTCAACTTGAAAGGAGTGACATTCAGTGGGAAGGAATAGTAGAGGAACAAGAACCAGAGACACCGAACGGTAGGTATGACTATAATTATGACATGAGAGATAATTTACGGAATGAGTATCTTAGACAATTCTTTCGCCCGGACAAAGCTGGGTCTGGGTCTTTGTTATCATTAGTGTCGTCCTGTTTGCACGTAATATATTCATCCGAAGCCTAAAGTTACATCAGCAATGATGTTCTATAATTGCATAAGTTAATAACAAATAAACATCAGACAAGCATACCAGGTTTACAAAAATAAAAATAAACAGATTATACGCTTCCCGCAGTGATTATCGAATGTTTGTTCATTTTTCAGCTTATTATAGCAGAAACGCGAGTTCGATCTGCATCACGTAGTAAGCCATGTATATCGTTTCGGTTGGTTATTTGCTTTAAAAGATAATTTTAAGTATAAAAGCAGAGCAATAATCCCACCAACCGTATCATACTATATAGTTTTTGATCATGGTATCCTGTGCTTATGATGTCTTACCTAGTTCACTTTCTTTTGGAGAAATGACTATCTTCCGGAAAGTCTTGTGCTCCCTTATGTTCTGTTTCACAAAATAACGTTCAACCCAGAATAATTAGTTCCTTTCGGTATGTAAAAACCAAATTGCTTTGCGGTACGCCAACAAGTTTGGCATAAGATGGCATAACAAACAGACGGAATTGTTGGGCTTAGAAACAATGTCGTCTATTTTGCCAAAATAATGTATATCAGTTACAGTTCTTCAGAAAAAACGCATTCATGTTTTTTCAAACATATTTTCGGTAATATAGCAAACCGGAATCTCGACGGTTCGACTATAATCGCGCACACAACAGCAGTTTCAACAAGAAATAGAACAACACATCAAATAAACTGTAAAGGGATCATGGGAATCTACATTTGGTTGTACCAAATATCGCTGAGACAAATGAACATCAAATGCGCATGCCTTTTTAGTTTCATTTATTTGTCCAAAATATGCATTTCACATGCACTAGGGATAAGTGAACTGAATTCACATGTCGATGTAAGTGCGCAGCAAGCAGATGCGAGTCACTTGACTTGGTCTCATTCAATCAATCGCCTCGTGTGAAAGGACACGAACTGTATGCTTGCACTACTCTCCATGAATGGATTCAAGTCTCAATCGAACCGAACGGAATCCAAATCGGGCAGGCCGACAAGCAAGCGAGCGGGCAGGCAGGAAGAAAGCTAAAAATTGGAGCCTTTTGCACATGCAAGAGCGCCACGAAAAGGTGGGAACTGCTTCACAAAATTGATAAACGATATAGTTAAAGGCTAGTATTTCACGTGCCAGACTCATGTTTTTGTACAGGTCATTCCCTATAACTAAGCTTTTGGATGATGGCCGTTCAGGATATCTTTTCTTTGGTAAAGTTATGCCGAATGTGCGTGAATCGTGTCAGGCACAGCTTTTCCCTTCTTCTGAATGTATTAAAAATCTGTTTCATTCTCGTCTGGAATCGTCTGTAGTACAAACCAGCTAATCCAGTGATTGCTTCTTCAGGAAAATTTTACAGAACCACCAGTTCACATGTTATCGAGGTCTTGTTCGGACTAACCCTAGCGGTTTTTCTCATAACACCAACACATAACATTGAAACAAGTCGTCTAGTAGACTATATTGATGTCAGTTTGCAGAAATACTCATATCGTTATTAACATGAAGGTAGTTTTTAACAAGAATGGCTTTTTAGTAAACAAGGCCACTCTGGCCGTAGCTAAACATGCACCATTTGTGGATCACATCTTCAGCCTTACTCTCTTCCTTCTCTACATCCTCCTCCTCGTGTTCTTCTTGTTGATAGCGATGATACAATAAATGCTGCTGCTGTTGGTCCAGTTCAAGAAATGCCGGATTCTGAAACCCAGAGTCAGGTCCGGGTGGATCAGAAAACCCATCCACACTGCCCTCATCCCCGTGGTCGATAAATCGGACACGTTCTTTCAGACCCAAAGTTCGTGGGCTGATGGCCCCGGCATTGGAGTACGTGCTATCCGACTGGCTACCGGAATCATGGCTAGGTCGGCTGCGACGAGATCCGAGCAGCTTGTCTCGGACTAGGACATATGCAGTGATTTATTATTTATATGTAATAGTCAGACGTGGTTTCATGGATCAATTGGTTCAATTGAACAACAGGCGCGATAAGACAGAAACGACATATAGGTCAAAAAAGTAAACAGATTTATAGAGGACCACAAACGAATTTTTCATGCGAAACGAAATGCAATGCAAGCCGATAATTTTTCATAAATTTACAAACAGAAGATTGAAAAGCAATAAAAAAAATAGTGGAACGCGCAGTCGTGGGTTGGGTTTGAATCACGTGCGGCAAACGGGTGGGGGGGAGTTCGTAAGAATGCGAAGAGAAATAATACGAATCAATAAACGCATTATTGTTACTTTTTAACAGTTATGAAAACATTTCATCGGTCAGAAGCCGATATAGAGAAGCAAAACGTTCGCCGACATAATTTCACAGTTGTGCATTACTGCATTCGAAAGACACTCCTAATCAACAGTTAAAATCGTTCCGGCTTTAGAATTCCGTGTGAGTATTTTTACTTTGAATCGACTAACTGTGCTCAGAATGATCGTGTGAAACAACACTATCATCGAAAATTTCCGAGTTTTTTCTTAATCGGATAAGGGATTGTCACATTTTATCACGATGATTTTGGTACAACATGTTCACAATTCACAATTCCGTACGAATTGCTGGGCACCCACTCCCAGTTAGTTTCCATCACAGACGGAAAAAATAACAAGAAGACAAAGCTGGTACGAGATATCGTTTTTCAGTTTACAAGGGCGTTATTATAAGAAACGAATTTTGATGAGAAAATCGTCAGTGGTCCAATTTTGTGATAAACACTCATTACCGAAATAGTCTCTGGGAAACTTTGCCGGCAACACGAAAAGTGGGCACAATGGAGCATCACCCTTGGCTAATGCTTGTCCATATTCAAGCTGAAAGCAATGGGGTTGCGATCGACCCTGTCAAATCCTGGCCACTGAAATCGTTTTTCGGGAAGACCAGGGTTAACTGTGACGGTCAGAAAAGCTGTCTTTCGGCCTGTCTTTTGGAGTTGACCTTGTGCTATAGGTTTGTATGATGCAATCCAAACGGCACTGAACGTGGTCACGCATAAATGCGAACTCTCATTCAACCCCCTCACTGAACGTGAGAGCACAGATATATCTTTGTTGACCTCGTCACTTGGGGTCAAACAAGGATAGACATCTATCTAAATGAATTGTACGGCGCCAGCCACCTTGGCCTCAACGCGGAACAAATGACAACCTCGAATTCGATTACCGCCCAGGTGTTTGATAAGAAAGGAGAACACCTTTCGTATTGTGTTACGATGTCACACGATGGGGGAGAAGTGATAAGAAGCTGAGCACCAGAAATGATCGCAGTTTCAGTGTTATCTTCTCACAACCCTCAGGCATGCCGGAGACGTTTGCGCCGGCCTTCATGCTTGTGTGTCAAGATTATTAACTTCAATTGCATTCCCCGTTATTGTTATGACGCACTGAACGTTGCGCATCACGTCAACTACCAGAATATCAGTTCTCTCAAACAATTAATTGCCCAACCAAACGAATAAATAACACCCGATTGGTTGACATATTGACAGTTTTTCTTATGTCAACTTTCATGATAAATCAGTATGATTTTAATCGTTTGAAAAAAAGGAATCGAAAACTTACGGTAACCTGCAATCACTGTTTTGATTTGAATCATGGATTTAGTCGATCCTTATCCTGATCGGTAAAGGAACGCTGTGAGCAAAACTTACGGTAAACTTACCCCGTATCAAGGGGTGAATAACTAAGGCGTACTTCTTTCTAAAACTCTGGATGATTAGCTTGTTGAACCGAGTTGTTCAAGCTGTTTGTTTGGAAAGAGGAAAACTAAACCTAGGTATACAGTAATCACGGAGCAGATGAATGGTTACTAACATGAATATCTTTTCCAATGCGAGTGTTAAAGAAATTTATTTCATTGTATGGAGAATTTCGTCGTGTACGGAACAAATGAAGTGTGTACTGAAACGTTGGAAAACAGTGTACAGCCAATTACACCCGACCGGGTCTCATCAGCAGGGCGAAACCAACACAGATGGGTTTCTCTATCGTTCATATAGACAAAACATTCTGATCAGCTGCCCGCTTGTCAAGTAGGTAGTACGCTTGCATTCATTACACTACAACAGTACCTGTGGAGGGTATCAGTTATTTGTGTGTGTATCGGGGGGGGGGAGGAGCCAATAGCATCGTTCCTGGTCACAGCAGTGATTTAGGGAGGGATTTAATAGACAACGCTTCTCTGGCTCACACTCCATACACACCGGATCACGAGTAATCTTAGTGATTGAACGAGTGAACAAACCAATAGGTGAACGTGGTGAATCCGATTTCCGGTCTCATGATGAAATCGTTTGAAGTAACCCATGATTTTTTCCCAAGACAAGTTTATTCGCAAATGATGATATATATTGAGATGTATTGGCATGAATACGAGTCTCTGAAACTGAGCTTGTTCCCTACTCTGTTGTTTTCTTTGAAATATGCTCTGTGGGCTATATTGACAATTGAAACAAATACCCATTGAACTGTTACATTATTTTGTACAAGAATTATCATTCTACCATTGGTAACTAACTTGCTACTTTACCGAGTATTTTGAATTTGATCAATGTTAATTATTTTATTGTTTTCTGTCTTGAGTGCAGTCCGTAACGGTTTGGATATTATAGAGAAATTGATCACGTTATCATTGGTTTGCACAAACCTCGTAAAGGAATTGAGCTCATGGCCTGTCTTTAACGTCTACTAAACGGGTTTGCAGAATGCGTACTATTAGATAAATTTACTGTTTCGGTTTTAATTGTGCTCTGCAAAGTAGTTATTATCACTTGTTTTACTTCTATAGAATACCCCGCATTCTTAAAATCACATGTCCTCATGATCCACGTTGACTGATTCGGACTATGAGTTCCAACGAGAGAAGCCGATGACGGACTTTCAGAGAACACGTTACTAGTGAATGTAAATGCGAAACAACAGCCACTATAAAGTAAACGCGGCAATCGACCGGAAGTAGCGATGATAAGCAAATTATGATTTTTCACCTAATTCACAAACTGATCATTCAAACTAGTTTAACAATGCCCATGACGTACGGCAAACCGCCGCACAAGGAATTTCGGAATCAGCTATTATAAAGGTCAAACGATTTCCCGGAAACCTGTTGACAACTTAAAAGACCTCATACAACTGATATTTTCTTGTGTAATTGAGCATTCAGAAACTTTCCGTCAACTATTTTAAGTTTGGTTAATCACATCGAAAAAACTTTGGGAGATTACAGTGACACAGGCACGTCCAACTCGCGAGAGATTGCGCTATGCTTAACAGACACGCCCACACTCTGTTCCAACTGACGAGGATGCACGTTTTCCAAATTAAAACCACAGTTTGAGTTTGCTTGAATCTGTTCTTTGAATGCATACTGATTGACGCTGGTCGTATGCTATATTAATCGACTGAAACACCGAGCTTGTTCAGGTTGTCAAACGGGTTTGATATATTTCAACTGAGAGCATGAAATATATCTAGATACCGCGATCTTTTGTAGTCTAGCTGGAAGAGCTGTTTTGCACAATGCTGTAAAAAATCTAGGCAGAAGAGATGTACCGTCGATGATTAGAATGAAACTTTAACGGTGTATGATAAAGACAGCTTTTATTGAAAAATCCCCAGTCTCAAACCGTTTTGCATTGTTCTGTCATTATTTTTCATCTTACACAAATCCCATTTACCACCATCCTAGATCAACTAAGCTATATTTAGTTATTACGCGACGAATAGCTATATTTACTTGGTTATTACATGCGTGACTTTGAGAGATAAAAATGTAAGTGTGATTGGGCGAGGAGGACAGAGCACTGAACAGCTGTTTCGTATCTGTGGAAACTGCTCGGCTGCGTATACGACTGGGAGTCGAGGCTTCGGGCAGGAGACTAAGCAATTTAACCCTGAGCCAACCGCTTTGCAAGGAGCGGTTAACTTATTTTGTTAATGCAAGGTCAAGTTTCGGATAGCGAGATTTGTTTATCGTTCTTGTTGCCCTTTGCGAAACCTTTTTCAAGAAAGGAACGCGCTCAGAGACACTGAAAATAAAAACGCATGACAAATGTTTCATTGCAAACGCACGAACTGAAAACTTCTCAGCGATATTTGTTGTAGTCGACCATTGGAATGTTTTCACACAAAAGATAATTTTCTTACTAAATGATTGAAACACGACAGATTTCTCAGAATTGTTGCATAAACCTTGGTAAGTGGTGGGTTCTTGGAACTGAACGGGATTGTCATTTATCTAATTAGGAAAATCTAACTCCATCTAATGGGAGCCTTTTGATAGCATCAGTTTAAATTCAAGACAAGAATGAAGGAAAAAATAAAATGAAGAAACTAGGTTAGGTTGAATCCAAAATCCCCAAATACCATTTGTTCAGTTTCCGAAATGTTCATGCTCAAAACTGATGAACGGTGTGTTTCTCCGAGGGGTTTTGATCATTGTATCTCAAAAGTATGTCCCACTGTATAAAGTAAAACTAACCGATACACGTTTTTATGAAGGCCTTCCAAGATAGTGAGTCAGAGAAATTGTTCATCAGAGAACCTAGACAGGGTAAGATCCATGATTGCCACCACCGATTTTTCGGTCTTTCCCGATCAGAACCCTTCTGTCCTCTGTGAACAGGTTACGGACTACCTTAATTTCTGTTTTAACCAGTTTGTTCACTTGTTCACTTGTTCATCCTTAAAGACGGATATTCATCACCGCTACTCGAGCAGCTACGCAGGCGGAAAGGAATAAGCCTATAAACATGAACAAAGAACTCATGTCAAGCGGCTTACAATTGCGATCAAAGCTGAAATAAATCGGTTGTACATCGAATTGTACATCGAAACTATCCTGGGAAACTATAGTTGTCGTGGAATGTCGAGAGCCATCAATCGACTGTGGCAGAAGCAATGAACACAAAAGGGAAACTGTCGACGTTGAAAGACTGAATTCCAAATTTAGTCCAGTTCCACAGTGCACTGCCCTGCCAGACTTGGTCAGCTCTATGCCAACACCAACTATCGAATCCGCCAAGGTCCTTCAACAGCTACTGAAAACAAAGATGAATAAAGCACCTGGTCCGGATGAACTATCATCCGTAGTACTCAAAGTATGTGTGGACACCCTGTCAGCCCCATTGTCTGAAATATTCAACGACTGTCTGAAAAGCGGAAAAATGCCTGATATTTGGAGACTAGCCAAGCTGACTTCCTTTCCAAAAAAGGAACCTGGGAAGTATAGTCCCATTGGCTGCACGTCAGTCATACACAAATTATTTGAGAGATGCTACCGTGGGTTGTCACTGAGTCTGCCGAAGACGACATACATCAATTTGCATATCGTTCTTCGCGCTCAACACTTGATGCCGTTGCATCTCTTGTTTATTCAATAATTTTGGCACTGGATAAGAATAATAAAACCGTCGGGATGGTGTTATAAGATTACAAAAACGCCTTCTTCAGTCTTGATAGATCAGTATGACTCAAAGTGATTACCGAAAATGGAGTTAATCCAAACGTTAGCAGACTGATCCGTGATTATTTCACAAATAGAAGGCAGTTTACGTGCCACTGGTTGTATTGCTCCCCAGTGACTTTTCCTGTCATGCATAAGAAAGATTTTCATTTACTGGCGAGATCTCTGAAACACATCTCTAAATGTAGTGGCATCGTCAGGAATAAACTCTTGGATTCTATCACAGACAAACACTTACAAGCATGTGAAAATTTGACTACCAAAATACTCTCAGACCCTCACTCATTATACAACGAATTTTTAAGAGCTGTATCCACCTTATCCACACACTCAAGATTTAAACTTTTATATGCACGTACCTCCTCTTATCGTAGTTCTGTTTTGCCATATCTAGCACTTCTACATATTGACAAGGAGAAAGTTTCCACAAAATGGTACCATTGTTCACTTCATAGACTAAAGCAATCTATCGCTTTCAGTTTCATTATGTATGTTTTTGTAAATCTGAATCCACAAATATGTTGTAAATACCAAATATTCACCCATCCGGGTGCATAAAGCTACTATTTATCTGACTTGACTTGACTTTGAGTTCAGTAGGTATTTTTGTTTATGTGAATTATTCAATTCTATGTCACGCATGTAGTCTATCAAAATGAAACAGAAACATATAGAACAAATTCACCCATAATCTAACTGATGCCCATTCATAACCACATGCGTCAAATTAACCATGACTACATTCGAAACGATCAATACGCGCTGACTATTCTGTCCATTAGAATAAAGCAATAAATTTATTGAACTTGGGTTGACCGTACCTGTGACTTGCCCGGAAACCGGATACAACTGGGTGGTGATCATTACCTCTGGATTCCCATTTCGCAGAATAGTATACACAAAGTATCGTTGGTAGTTATCCTCTGGTGCCGTCACGGTCATCAAGGACACGTAGATTCTGCCTGGGCTGGTACACGTGCTTACCCCAACTTGGTCCGCGCGTGGGTGCGAACGTGCGCGTGTGCCTGTGCGTACGCATCGTGAGTACGTCTCAGTACCATAATACTAGTAGTTAAGTTACCATGGCTCATCGGCTAGGGCGTCACCCAGGGAAATTGTGTTAAGTTATTTATGTATGTGTGCGGAGTTTGTGTGGTAAGAAGCTAAAATGTTGTAATACCTATGTTCTAACTCAGCACCGCTTCCCTCACGTTGATCAAACTGACTCACATCAGCGGTTGGTGTAGATCACACATATTCAAGAATATCAACAGTCGAATCGAATTTGTCGCTCTGCGGAATGAATTGTGGCCGCAAAGTAATCCGTATTTCTGTTATCGATTGAAGTTGCTCGCCCACTGGGTTGTAAAAAAACATCATAATCCATTGATGTTGTTTCGTTTGTCGTTATTTGGGGAGTACAGGAGAATTAGGAAGCGTGTTTTTGTCACAAGGTGATAGACCTGAAGGTCGTATCGAATATACAAAAACACAAATGTCAACGAGGTATGAGGCGGTATGTTTGCACAAAAGCTCGTGTGATGTGGTCGCTTGTACCACCCAGATGTGGTTTTACTGGTTTTGGTTGTGTTAGTGGTTAAGAGCCAAATTTTATCTCTTTCCGAATGGAAATGTGTTATTTTTCGATGATCGCGAAATTGCTGAAGTTATTCATCTCTGTCAACAGTGAGCTTGTCGAGAATGTTTTTGCCAACGATGACATTTTAAAGGGTCATGCGTATGTCAGAAATAGCGAGCGACAGACCTCCGACAGCCCAACTTACCGTCGCACACAAGGAAGTCCCAAAACGGCGTGAGTGTTTTGCGTCAAACAATACATGAATCTGGTATGCAACTTACATCGAAATAGATTAGGTGGAGGAATTCGTTGATTTGGAGTGTGTAAAAGGCAACAATCTTGAACTACCTGTGCCCATAGGGATGCAATAACTCGCTTCAGTGTGCGCATACGATAAAATGTAAAAGAACAGATTGGGGGTAATCAAACTCACCGGCGCCTTCGAGTTGTTTATCTGGCATCAGTTTCGCTTGGAATTCTTTGCTCAAATACAGCGGATGATAGAAATCCCCAACCAGTGCTTTGATCACTTTGCCCACATCACGAAGTGCCACTTTAGAGCTTTGCTTTTTCATTCAAAATGGGACATGAGAAAAATCACAAGATAAAGCATTTTATTCATTGTGTAGATTAGTATGAAGATTTTCCACTAACTGGACAAGGTGGTCAATCTGTAGAGGATTGCATGCAAGGTCTGTTTTGCATTCGGAAATAGGATTGAGAAGAAATATCTTTTAGAATATCTTTTACTGGGTTTCAAGGGAACAAATTGTAATTGATAGTAAAATATTTCCATAAAAGCTTCATAACAAAGGATTACAATGATAATCCAATTATCTTTTTTTCTCGGTATTCATTAAAACACATATATGTCAAGAGTGAAAGGATGAGTTCCGAATGTTTATGACAGCTGATCAATCCAACAGAAGCCTTGTTAACAAAAGGAAATTATGTTCCAGGACCTAAAAGCGACCTGCGCAAAATGAAATCTTATTTGTGTAAGTATTTAAATGCAAATCGTAATAAAAAATAATGCCATGACATTAGAGCAAGTAGGATGGATGACTTATAAAATCCAATGAGGACACTAATAAAATGTGTTTTCTGAATAGGCCATTCCCAACATTATAAGATTTGTAGACAACCTAAGACACTGGTGCCCATTTATCTTTGCGTGCTGCATTTTTCCCCAGATTTCACCTTTTGTGATCCGTCAGTGAATATCAGCTTAGTAATACTTTTTTAATCTGTTTGTTCAGTTGTAAAATTATTTTTACAAACGGTTCTTCGCAAAAATAACTTCGTGCTTATGGTGCGGCCTCTGTATGCATTCTCAAACACTCTTTGTTCAGCTTGGCGAACAAGGAGTAAACCAAGCTTTGCCTACTCCGTGTCCTGTATTTTTCTAGTGGGATATATGCAACTGGGAATATCTCATGTACCGTTCTTATACGCAAATATACAGTGCTTTTCGTGCGATTATGCAGCAAGACTGAGTATCTTACCAGTCTAGTTCACAAATGCATTTGAACAATGAACTGCTGTTGTTCAGCAAATCTTGGATTTTTATGCGGTTGAAGTTTTCGGTGAAGAATGCGTGGGCACACGTAAAACCCCTTCGTTTGCTCGCCGAGTATGGCAATTTGTTTGCAAATGTTTCATCACCAGCCGAAGTGACATCATTAGTGCTTGTGAAACCACGAATGATTAATTAGTATAAGGACATTAATGAAATTCAGGACGGGATCAATGAACGCAAGCACATAAAAAACACCAGAGCTAATATTGCTTGGACCGTAGATTTCGGTCACCCCAATCCGTGTCACAATGTTTCACTTTCATTGGACCGGGAAATATTACAACTGTGATCCACCAACGGTATTATTGAGCACTTTACAAATTTATTGCTCCAATAATGTGCCCAAAATGTATTTGGAGTGCAAAATGGATAGTGACACACCAAGGAGTTTGCATGCAGTCTAACACAATTGCACAACAGTAGGTGTCTCAAAATGCATATGTTTTGTTGCATGTGTGCGTGTACTTGAGTTTGGGTTTGTTCAAGCGGGGATTCTAACCAGCTCACGCTGCCAGACACATAAAAGGCTCTTTGTACAATACAACAGGCAAAAAGGGATTAGGCTAAGGTCTTACACAAAAAATATCTAAGCCAAACTAGGGACATTCAGTACAACCAATAGACAACATGTAGCTAAACACAAGCAGTACGCAACGCTCAAGGCAGTTTTCACGCCATCTTAAGCAATATGTTTGTATTTAGAATTCATTGGACGGAAAAGGCACATCCATAAAATCACCTAAGGTGAAATCTTTGACCAACAAAATATTCAAATTGGATAGCACAGAAAAGTCGTAGCTCATGTGCTTCAACAGACCAGGAAATCATTACCGGGTGAAAACACAGAGCTATACATTTTGTTGATATAAAGACGTAGATATGCGTACAGGCACACTGTCATAAATAAACCATGACATACTACTGACAAACAACTAAGAAAATCTAGCACGAAACTACTGACGCCCGTGTGTGTGCGCGTGTGTTACCTTATGCTCCTTGGACACGTTTCTGCCTAGTTTCTAAAATCAATCAGTTAATTGAATGAACAGTCAGGCGATGAAACAAATCAGTGACAAGGAGATAAACAGATAGACTGATCGTGTGGGGCTGTTTTGATGTGAGAATTAGAATAAACAAAAGATGCTTTGAGCAAACTCAGTCAAAGGAAGCCAATTTTGAACAAAGACCCATGACTGCGGTGTAGGTGTGAGTGCAGGTGCGTGTTTCTGGGTGCGAGATTCGATTTCGGTAGAAATGAGGCGGTCGTTAAAGCTACGAGCACGTTGGTGGTGGTATGTAAATCAACACTGATATAATCGCAAAACAAACGTGTGGTTAAGGTGATCGAGTTAAAAAAAAATGAACGCTCAACGAGCGATGTGATTCAAACCAAGTCAATTTGTTCACAGTTTTCTATGAAAGCTTGTTCTAAAACGATTAGTGTAATAATATGTCAAAGTAGATTGGAAAAGTAGCATTTACAAATGTGAGCTAGTTGCTTTACTGTTTACACGGAGCTACATTTGGCGCATGAGGTAAGTGTTCTCTTTGCATTCAGCAGACAGACAATGGATATACCATGTGACGCCAAGATGCTCAACGGAGAAGGATCTTACACCAGATAGCTTAACAGTGTGCTATTAAAAATTGTTTGCACACAGCTTTAGAATCTCCAAGATAAAATAAATAGACTATAATATGCCTAGGCTGTGCTGAATAGTAGGCAAGTATTTTTGAATTTACTGCTCATCATCACATACATTGATTATGATTTCTATCACATAACGAACTTTGGTAACTAGGGGTAAACTCGTATCAGCGAATGCCAGCAAATGTGGGCAATATATAATAGCTGAAATTAGCCTTAAAAATGTGTCATATAAAATAACGTTATCTTTTACTGTTAATGATAATAATAATAATGATAATAATACATGTAATAAACGACACAATAATGTCCCAGTGGTGCATGATTTCGAGAAGCGTATTTTGGTTTCAGTTGTCAGATGATGAGTAACCTCAGTGGCGTTGAAGAGCACTAATCCGTGCCGCTTAAGCTATTCTGCACAATGTGGACTGAATCAAATAAGCTTCTAGGTCACATCAGTCACCGTAATCATTCACTCAAATTGCACAGACACATTATGTCTGCATGGGTTTCAAACACATTGAGGTTACGATCTTATCGCAATGGGTAACTTATGAAATTTCATTCCTAAGTGCTGATATTGGAAGAGTTCGGCTCATTATTCCCGCTAGTCTCATGAGCCTGTCGAGTGGACAAAACTCATTCCCTGAGAGTGAGTCCAATTGCCGTGAACTGGTAGTCATTCTACTTCCCCCAAAGAACATACAAGTGAAGTGATTTCTTTTGAGTGAGCTGATCCTGGAGGATGAATATTCGCCAAACCAGAACAAATACGATCAAACGTTTATAATTTACACTTTTTTCTAGACTTAGTGCAACATGATCTAGGGTGAACATCATTAAACAGGCAAACCTTATCAAAATCAGTTTGGAATATTTATCAAAGATCGGGACTAGGAGAGCCCTGATTGATCGTGTGATTTATAAGTTCCTAACCTGTTACAAATTCTCAAATCTATTATCTTTTCTTTATTAGAGATAATGGTCTATGTTTTCCATGCATTACTCTACTCAAACAGGATTTTAAAGTATCACGCCACGGCATAATCGTTATTAGTCGTGTCTCTTCTATTCTTGTGAATGAATTAGCTTCAAAGGTCTCAGAGTATGATGGAACTTTCGGTGTGAAATTCGCTGCAAGGATTCTCACGGATCCTGACTACCCATTGCACGCAGAACTGACACAATGTCGTTTCCATCATCGAACACGCTCCCAAGCCCGCAAAATTTCATCTTGAATTCACGCTTACTGCAATTCAACTATACCATATCTTGCTGGTGTACTCATAACCGAAGAGCGGAAAATAAGTGAATTTTGTCTTAACCTTGGTTTATGAATTATGCTCATGTCTATAAAAGTGTTTCATAGTTTGTTATGTACATTGTGACGGTTAGCGTGTATGATTTTCTAACTGAAATGTAAGCTCCAGTGCTTGTAAAAGTTATACACAGTACAGAATATCTGTTTTCTAACTGAAAGTGGTATTGTAACATGACCTCAATAAATCACTATTTCTGTTGAAAAAATACAAATACACAATACAAATAAATCTGTTCACGAGAATCGGGTTTTCAGGATAAGTAAATAAAGGAGGTTCACAAGCGACAAGCAATCTATAGCTTGCTTAGAGGAAACAGAAGGATACATGCAATCGTACAAACTTACCCGATGCGATCGATTGTATTCCCACATTTTGTTGAATATTGCCACTTTGGAATTCTGTGTGTGATGTCAATATTTTTCGGGTCAACGCGGACAAGGGGTGATGGCAGTTGAGGAGAAAGGGGGTAATTACGAAGGTAGAGACAAAAAGAACAGAACATGTCAAAATGATGTGTTTGAGAAACTGCATTCGGCACTTGGATTTTACTGGTCAACTCTTTCCAGAATTGGACGCATCCTATAGACAAACTACTGAATGCAACATGAACCTACCAGATTTTTCAACTGATCCGTATACAGTTTTTCCAGCATGTAGACGGTGAGAAATTCTTCCAAACTAAAACCTTGTTCGAGGAAGAGTTTGACAAAGTCGTGACGGTCACTCATCAACGCGTGGTACATGTAATCGTTCAGTTGACCTTTCTTCAACCGAGACAATGGATTGGGGACAAAGTGAAGAGATTGTGCAGTGATTGTGTTTCAAATGAGGACGTAGAAAGCAAAACACTTTGACGTAAGAAATACCAAAACAAGGCTTGGTAGGTTTTGTGGATCATTTGTGTCAAACGAATGGATAGGCATTAGTGCGGTACAAAGTTAAAATAACAAGACGATATAGTATGCCAGATCTGCTTTGCGCTGGTGGTTAAAAAAGATAAAAATATGGAACTAACCAAGTTCAGAGCGGAAAACAGATCGTAGAAAAACAACAGAATACTAAACTGCAGGAAAAATAAGCGAATTCAGAAGTTTCGAGTCTCTTTGAGTAGCAAAACGAATGTCGAAATCAAATGATAATATCACGTGTGAAATATATAAGCCAGATCATTCTTCATACTCAGTATGAACAGCCGCAACTAAGAGAACAAATATCGAGGAAAATACACCTAAAATGAACGCTTCGGGAATGATCCGGTGGGATGGGACTCGCAGCTAGCATCATACTGACGCCTCTGACCGACTTGAATAGAATTTGAGAAGGAAAGCACTGAACCATATTTTTACTTATTGAACAAACAAATATTTTTTTAACTTGATGAAAACATAAAAACAAAAGACTTTATGTGAAACTCTTTGACGGAATCGATAAGGTAATGACTTTGTATTTCGTGTGTACATCAAATGCGCTACTCTCGACTGAAAAGTTTTGGAAGCTGAGATTCGACCTCAGACAGCAGTGTTCTTATTTCTAAAGGCAAGAATTTCGGTGGAAATGCAGCNATAGTGTTGATTGGCACTGCATGAAAAAACACTTTCCTCGATAAAAGAACTTTTGAAAATCTTGAATGCTAGACGGTAAATTTTGATTATCACCAGAAATAGTTTATTTGTTTTGACAGATTTAATTGGGTTGAAATACATTCAGGTAACTATATTGACGGTGGAGTTATTTGATGATCGTGAAAGGTGCTAATTATGTTTCTAAGAAGCTTAAATATCTAAAAAAAGACTGCAGTTTCAATAACAATATTAAAAGTGGCAGTTTTAGACGAGGTAATCACTTTGTTAGTAAATCAGTGAGGAATCTGAATCAAAGTTTCTACCAATAATCATGAGAATGTTCAAAGCTGGGGAATTTGTTTGAAGACCCCGTTTTTGTTCGTATTGCTGCTCGGGTTGTTACCGTGTAGAAGTGTTATTCAGTGCTCGATTATGTGCCGCACAGAGCTTTTGGCACAAATACGAGGTGGTATAAATCTTATGAGATTACGATGAAAGCATTGTATCATCCCCACCTGTTGTCCCATCAATTGACTTCAATTCAGACATTTTGCCAGGTCAGTCTCTGCAACCAATCGGACATTGCAGCTGGAAATGCTTATGGGTGGTGTGGTGTGGGCTACTTATGTTCTCATCGGAATTAACATGTGAATTTGTGCATTGTAGAAGTCCTCTGTAGTGATATCGACTTACAGTAGCAACACAACAGGAATCTGTTCCGAGGAATCAAGCAAAAAGTGGATTCGTTTTTTAATGAGTGCTGCGGAAGGGAAATGCAAGATCACCTGACAAACCTACCCTGCTGAATGAAGGGAAGTCTAAACTGATATTTATAAGATTTCGCAATGTGCCCAATCTGTCATGCGGGCACCTTTCCATGGAAAACAAAAACGTTCATTGATTCCTCTCTTCTCCCGTATGAAGTGTACATTAACTAAGCGGCCTTGTTTATACGCAGACCATTACCCGCTCAACGACCTCATTATGTTTTTAGGTGTGGGAACATGGGTCGGATGAGGGCATTATGTTTTGCTCCACTAGGTCATAACGTCTCTGCAATGAGGTTTTGGTGCGTCACTTGTAAGGCTGATATCCCGTGGTCGCGATGGCGTGGCACGATATTATTTAGGCACCAAAGTTTGGTGTTTACAAGCTAATGCAGATTGCCTTCGTCCTTGGTTAGTGTCTGAAGACCTAGTTATCCGGATGAGTGGGACGATACTCCAAATACTATGTAGAAAGCCGGTTCAAGCCTCACATGGCGGTATACGTCAGTCAGATGGCGCCTCCTCGTATTATAGCCAACGGTGATTGTACCGTTAATCGAGTCGTCCTTTGAACGGGTGCAAACGAATAAATAAACATAAAAGAGGCTAATTGTCTCAGATGGATGTTCTGATTACCTAAGGGCCAATGCATACATATGATAAACTGGATGTGTTTTAGATTTTCTTGTGAGGGTGCTACTGAAGTAGAACAAAGTAACCAATTTTAAAAACAAACAATTCGCTCACCACCAAGATAGATTCTCTGCTAATCTAGTCTTCCCTGTTATCGTTCTGCAAGGGACTATACTCTCACCTGTTGTAGTTATCATAGATTTAGCTACATTGATCAAATTTTCAAATTCCTTAGACGGGAATTGGACTGATGCTGCCATACGTGGATCTCCATATTCTGGTGCATCCAACTTTCTCCAATCTGTATTTTATCCTTTCTTAATGCAGAGATACAGCTTTTTCATAGAAGGCTCCTAAACAGAATGCAATTGCGGATGCCTGTTTTGATTCTCTGTTTACTGTTTTCATTCTGCTTTATTTATGTGACTTCCATTGAATGAGTCGTATGAACACTTGACTTTACTTGTTTTCTTGTGAGGCTCATGAAGCATTTGCTTGTGAATACCTGAGGGACCCGAGTTTCCTAGTTTACAATTTATCTATAACGTAACTCGTGAAAAGATGTGAAATGATAACATTATCAAAGTATAGATACTTTTATCCAAGTAATTTGAAGTTTATTTGGTTACAGATGCATCGATATAATAGTATTAGTTTTATTATTGACTTTTAACTTGTTGCTGATAGATGGAAACAGTGGTTTCATTGATCACTATATGGTGGAGATAGTAGCTTACATTCATGATGATTTTCTATTTTCGCATAATTGACTGTTAAGCCACGTAAAAAATGTAAACGGTTTCCATAGGTTTTCAGATTATGAATAAAAAAGTACTAAAATCGCGTTGGCTTTATCGATATAATAAACGCAGTGTACCATTCTCTTCTGCGGGAGAAAAACAACAGTTTTATTTCAGTGTTCCATTAAATCAAAATGAAGATGACAGTAGCAGCAGTTGTATCGATTTTTCGAAATCCACCTGGTGTATAGACCAATAAATGATACTTTAGTTTACTTCTATACGTAGTCTATTTTCAGGAAGGTAAAATAAGTAATCAACACAGCAACGACAAGTAGAATAATGATAAACAATCGAGGAATCAACCTCGGTTATCATTGGAATAAAGATTACCTTCCACTTTTTATTCTCAAGAAATATTTTCTCTCGAGCAATGTCAGCTCTGTTCAGGGTCAACGTAATTTCTAGCTGTTCTAAGTTGATCTGATCAGACGCAACCGTAGACCCCGCTGTGAGAAAGGGAAATGGTGTGTTTCAAAACAGGAAGCGGGCATAGTGATGAGGGGGAGATATCGATAGAATAGATTATTATTAGTTATATGATCAATAAATCGTAGACAGCTGGAAAAGTGCGATCAAAATAAATTATTAGTTATGTTGCCGATTAGTCAACCTTGAGCAATATTATTAAAGAAAGATTTTTCAGGAGTATGTATATAAGCGCACAATGTACCTCGTTATATGCGTAATGGTACTTGTAGAGGCAACGAATTGAACATGATAAAAAACGAAACAGATTCGACATTGTCGTGACAGGGGTCGTAACGATTAACTGGAAAACGGTTATGGCATGGAACAGTACTGTTGCCGTATGTGAGTGAACATGCAGCGGGAAGTTGAAATTGAGAATCGACACAGGTGTCATGCGTTCACAATGTAGATAGTACACTCCATTACGAGTTATCCTATCAATACATATCTAACATATACATCAAAATGCTGTTAAATACAAACCTATAAAACAACGTGTAATCTGGCTTTTTCTAAACCAGAGAGAAGTGAAAGCGAGCTGTAGAACCAGTATGAAGGGATGAAACATCCATTCTCTACTCCTCATTACCAAGTGCAATATGATGACAACGTTTTGATGTGTATAAGAAAGCTGTTTTTCGAATATTTGTTTCGCGACACCTGGTTCCTTCACAGTGCAACGTAGTACTTAGAATCGCGAGAGAGCATTAACTTTTATTCTATAACAACTGTTATCAAGTTTATGCGAATAGCTTGTCGGTTGGTGCTACAAACTGAGTCAGTTTACATGGGTATCAACCGACATATGAAAAGTTCTGCCCACATGAGCCCCCTACAGGTAGATTTCTGCCAACCAATTCCAAATGCACCACTGCGGTCATTATTGCCATTTGCGTGCTCATGTTCTGTTTGTTACTCTAATGATCAACGAAACAGCAGATATTCACCAGAAGCAAATCATCCTAAACCAATTTGGTTGACCGTACCTCTGAAAGAAAACTTTCATGTTGTAGGCATGTTTGGAATAATGAAACAACAGAACTGTTTATACCTCAAAAACGGCGTTGTGAGCTCAGAACCAAGTAATATTAAATAAAACTTAATATCCTAACCATTCTATCGCGTTTTTAATCGCAAATAGTATACTTTCAGCAAATATGAATAATCAGGAATATTCTTACACGCTCTTGGAGGCCTTAAATTCATTGTATGCCGTACCATTTTTAGCACTGGGAAACGATACTAATCCTTCATATCAGTTTAGCCTAACTTGCATCTAATAGCACTAAATAAAATCCAAATTTTCCTTACGAAGAACATGTCTCCCTTGCTAACAGACATACCACTGGCCAGCAGCGACGAGATCACATAACCATCGAGATCGGAGTCTTCTTCCATATCGAATACCGACACCAGATTGCTGTAATCGTTGATAATCTCGCTGAGCATGTTCACTTCTTCCGTGTAGTTTGAACAATCCGGGTGCATGTCACTAAGGAATTCTTCGATAATTGATTCGATTCTGTATGATTGAAACAAACATACTTACAGTTAAAATTATGAATTCTGTCCTGCCAGTTAAACAGTAACGAAACTCGTATAATGTTTGATTAAAAAGATAGACAGTAATTGACCTCAGGCTTTAACATTCGGCGACGGGAACAGAAAAATTAAATAATGTTTTTTTTGGCGTCAATGATTCACATCACTTTGCCGCCCCTGATGTGATTAAAGCATACAGACTATGTAGAACTATAATAAATATTTACGAGCAAATTAAACTATACTAGCACTGATCGTTCCGGTCGTCGAAGCTGGTCAGTACGTTTCAGCCGGTGGAGCAAATAAGGATAAATATTTCTTTTCATCAAACCAGCAAAAATTAAAGCTCAGGTATGCGTAAAACACATTTTGGGCAACGTCATCTAGTCTTTCTGAGAGCATCGAGACCGGCCGGAGGAATCTTAGGAATGGTACCGGGTATTCACTGATACCAGTTTAAAAACAAATAGGCATCTCGAAACAGTAAATTCCATTTCCCGAGCCCAGTGGATGCGTTCACTTTGAAAACCCATCTGGATTTGTAAATCTAAAGATCTGTTGTTTTGTTCTTACATCTGCGAAAACGGCTCAATAGCTGTGAAATTAAGTGATACAGGAAGCTTCTAGAACAAGTATATTATGGTGTATTGAGTAGATTTCTGTAGTTCTGTATTTTTTCATGCGTATTCATGAGAGAAATAATTGTTTGATTTAGGGGGGGGGGGAAGGGGGCTTCAAACTTCTTCAACAAACGTGTTCATATTTATAAGGTGTTGTAGTTTGTTTTGAACTTTTGTATAATAGAATAATGGTTTCCATGCTCGTTACATTCCTAATTGACCTGTTTCGGGATAATAGCTTTTTGATGCACATTTTGCTCCTATTGAAATGCGATTTTGTCGGTTAAATCATAAATGACAAATAATACGTAAAAGGTAGAAATCACCACGTGGCAAACGGTTGCTAAAATGGTTAACGAATACCTGACGATGCACAGAATAATTTCTTTGCATTTACCGATTTTCCAACGGAACTGGCTCCTTGTCATCCACCGCCTCTTCGGTCGCCATTTTGTTTGCGGCGTCCAGACCAAACGCTATTACATCAGCGGCACCAGAAGTACCCTTTGGGTTAAAAAGTTTCATAAATTAACATTTACTTCTAAAAAGGACACAGACAGTCGAGCAGATGGATTTATTGTTCTTCGTGAATGCTTGGCCAAAAACATGACATTTGTTCAAGAACAAATATTATTGTACCTGACAGCGGAGGGATTTTGTTCAGCTATTAACAAGCAGTAAACCAAGAACAGGAGAAAACCCGGGATAGCTTTCAAGTAAAAGTCGATACAGAAAATTATTTATTCTATTGCTACAATAGTTAACTGTATCAGATTTTATATGATATCAGGTATTTATGGGGAACCTTGAAAGTTTCGAATATCAGAGACAAAGCTTCGAGAAATCGGTTTGACTGTAAACCGGCAGTTTATGGTACATTTGTTGGAATAAATTCGTTATTCGGTAGATAAAGCATAATTTAATGAACCGATGCCTTAAATCATTTTTCTCAAGGAAACGACTTCTTCATAAAGCTTAAAATAACCGCGAACTCAGGGAAGCCTCAATCGGCGAGTTTGAAGCGGAAACCCCACTTTGCGCCTGCCAATCCCACAGGATATATTTCTTTCGCTTTTGTATTATTCCCTGTAAGAGCAAACCAAGCATTAACAAAATAGAGGTGAAACCAACGAGTTTATTGAGACTGCTTGATGAACTTTGGTGTTTTTTCTCAAATGTTGCTGATTTCGTTCAAAGGACCTCCCTGGTGCTCTTAAGTTTTATGAGATAGATGATGCCATAAGACCAATTTTTTCAAGTTAGATGCACCACAAAATAATTTGCCTCATTCGCTTGCGAGGCTTATATGGGATCAATCCTCGGTCCACAGTTTGAAAGATTTATTTGTGATGTGTAAAAAAATATCAGAAAGCTAAACCCTGCAGGCTGTTTTTGTTTTGCCAAAAAGCCTATCAGGTGGTGAGGTAAAATAACTCAAATACCGCGTCACGTAGTAGTCAATGCTTGAGGTCCGAGAAGGCGTTGTAATCAAGGAGAGTTCATTAGAGTACTTGCTGAACCTAAATTTTGTTCACATAAAATTTCCTTTCCGTTGTAATATTTTGTCAATGTTTGCTGTTGCTACACGCTCGGAATCGGTGAATAAGTCCGCTTACCTTTGTCACGACAATCGGACAGCGGTTTTGTATCATGGAGCAATATACTTGCCGTAACGTGAATCTGTCTCCCCCGACAACCAAACCACACATCGGTACCAGAACTTCCTCCTCACTCCCCACCGATTTTCCGGACTTTTGTGGTTTGCTAACGTCCGGCAGGCTTTTCTCGCCTGCAGTACGCATTCCCGTTCCCTGACTGGCGGAAATTTGCTCAGCAGCCGTGCGCTGGGTTGCCAGTGCTGTGGAGGAAACCGTTCCTGGTGCAACTTGGGTTTTACCCACCGAACTCGAACTTAGATTGACCCCAGAACCAGGTTGTGGTGCTACAGATACGCGAGTACTGCCCTCTCGTTGTAACAGAGTGGACGACTGGTTATTCAAATTACTTCCAGACTGAGTCTGCTGCTGGAGTTGGGTGCTTGAAGTGATGCCGGCAGATGTAGGTGCAGTTCCTCCAGCGCCCCCCGTTCCACCCATACTCTGATCCAGTGCCGGTGTGGCACAACTCCATTGTGAAATGCATCGCTCGAACCGCGCGCGCAATTCCGCTTCTTTGCCTTTGGCTTGATCCGATACACCACTGTCAACTAGAATGAAAAAGTTGTGATTCGGATCCAATGCGCGTTCTTCCACATCACTTCGGACAGTTTTATTTCCCGTTGCCCCACCAGGCCCCGCGACACCGCGATCACTCTCGTCCTGTTCTTCTTCGTCCTCTTCTGACTGATAAACAGCTGTGCCCTAGATAATAAACCAACCCAATGAAAACGCTATTTTACACCACGGTGGAAGAAAGTACTTAAAGCGTACTGTTATTAATAGAAAATGTGAGCTATATATAGGCAAAGTAAACGTGATCTGAAAAGTAAGAAAAAAACCTCTTTTCCCTTTTGCGTCTCAGAACTACTGAGAATCCACCTCTTAAATTGAGCATTGATCCAGCGACATCAAACGATTATTGCCCTTAACACCTACAAATCGGTTTTCTTTCGTTTTTTATTTATGATTCAACAAAAAACACTGATTTAACCACCAATCGGTTGTGTCCACACATGGCTACTCTATAAGTAACATCAACATGTCTCGGGAGTCACTGTGGCAGTAAAAGTAGTCTGATATCAGGGTCCAAAGAGTTTAGGTTAGGGAACCTAGACAATTTGAATCAAGAAATGCTACTTTCCCAAACGAATAACGGATGAGTCTCGAAAATCACTCAAACACGAAAATTGTTACGAACCTAGCGTATGTCTTTCAGCGGTTCACCTGTTGCCCAAGTGATCCACACATGGCCAGGATGGATCGGTGTTTCACCCATCGAGTGTCCCCTAACATACGCAGATGGTTTCCAGGACCACTGAGATAACCCACAACGACAATCAGTGCTTCCACATGAAACTCATCTTCGTTGATTACAAAAGACGTTCTGGCATTACATTTCATGGTGGACCTAACCTCCCGATGCGCAACATAAAGCATTGCTATTAGGAAGATCATTGATTTAAACAGTCCATGTAATAAGTTACACTTCTGGAGAGAACCGTGAAGATTGCAGATGATGTCATTCAGAAACACAAAACATCTAATTCGCATCCACAAACCCTCGAAAATTGAATTTGTTGTTAATCAGTTTTTCTATATGTCGCTTTGTCGGCATGCCGTTTTCGTAAACATGATCCTATAGGCCACTTGTGCCGTAAGCTAACTAGGTTGGGTTGCCCACAACAAAAAAGAACCACAACACCAACCACAAAATTTCGAGTTCGAACATCGAGATCGGATTAACCCGCTCCTATTTCCTTGGTGTAACACATGCTATCGGTAGGGTATTTATCGTATAAATAACGTGAATCTCATTCGGGAGGAAAAGCAACAGCCAGAGAGAGAAAGTAAACATTTCCCAGGTGAATTTCATTTCATCATATCCGCAGATGTTCACGCTTAGGGTAAACGATGCACAGATAACCCGGTTTAACCAATAACAAGTCGCACTTTCGCTTCGATCTTCAATCGTCTATGACACTACCGGTTGCACGGACTATTTTAAACCAGTGGACGATATGCTCGGTAAAATAAAATCGGTCCTTTCCCAGGTGACAGCACTCAAATGGCATGCATTGCTGACGGAAAAGGCCACCCTAAAACTGATCTGCTTGTTTCACCATGAACCCTTAGTCATTTGGCATAACATGTAACTATATCATTTGAACTATAAAACAATAACGTTATCAATGGGGAGATTCAGATCTAGTGCACGTCAAATACTTTGTATCTGCGGTGCTGCATGTTGCGATCTGAATGCTGAAGTAATTATGCAAAGTGTGTGTGATACGTAATTGATATCTGACTGGAAATCGCCGTCGCTGTTTATATTGTGAAATAGTAAATGCAGGAAAGTTCGTAAAATTCAGAAACGCAAAAAAAATTCGTTTCAGTATAAAAGAATTTACTATTCAGTGCTTGTTTTCACAATTTCGTGCATTCCACATTATCTTCGACCCCCATCCGTTGTCATCAACAGTGAATAAAACTTGCAAATGAAGTTAGTGTGTGAGTTCACCAGTTGTATCCCAGGTTTATGCATATAGTCTATTTCGATTAAATAAAACAACCGCCGTTAGTGGTTTCACTCCTTAATTGCCTGTCCTCAATCTAAGGTACGCATTTGTTTCGACAAACTGAAAACCCGAAATTCGCAGCGTAATGATAACACCAGAAACGAGCGGAGTGAATAAATCAAGACTATTGTTTACCTCGTGCAATGCAGCTTCCAATATTTCGTTTTTGGTCACACAATCCCAGCTGGCCACACCAAACGCCATCATACGATTTCCACCGTAGGCGTCTGTGTAATCACGCACAGCCTCACCTGTGAGTTTCATCACGCCCAAGTGGAACCCACCGGTTACGATCCAGCAACCTGTAACAGGGTAGAAAGCACAAGGGGAATATGTACGACACGCCATTATCATATGATGTACCGACTGTGATGAATAGTTCAAATACAACCCATCAATACAATTGATAGTAAAGAAAGTTTGTTAAACGGAACAGAACATCGGGTTCTACAGCCTGTAATACCGGCACACGTAATGACTGCATAGAATAGGTGGTTTTGGACCTCGATGCAATACATGCCACTGCACAAAATCCCGCAGCACAATGTAATGCAATATTTGTGCATATGCACTTTGAAGTGACACTATTTTATACAATTATCCAGTGAGTACTACACACCTTACTTTTATTGCGATTATCAACATGTCCAAACCAGTTTTCATAGGGCAAAGTATAATTGGTGGGTAACTAGGTAAAATAAATTACATCTATTTTGTTTTATAAAATCCCGGTGAATTCATCAATCATACCAAAGATAACTTTATGTTTTCAAAACTGCTTTTCGTAATTTCGGAAAAGTATGAATGTATGACCAACTCGAATCCTCGGTGAAGCGATCAAATACCTTATACTAGATTTGCAGACTAGAGGTTGGATAAAACCATTGTGGAACCTCATGAGGTTTATTGTGATTTATTAAAAATTTGAATGCATTATGTGTCTTTCTCTCAAGTCTATCGTTTTAACTGGTCAGTTGGGATTTGGCTGACAATACCGAAAGCTGTTTCTATGAACAATACTACGGTGGGAAATACTTCGCTTACAGTCCCACCAGATCGACACCTAAGCTTCAAATAGCATCATTTTCCGTGTCAGTTTATCGAAAACAAGCATTTAAGGCATTATGTTTGGTTATCCCTGTATTAGGAAGGTCAAGTTATAAATTTGGCGCTGCACGAGTATACAGTCGTATCACTTGTGTATGTGCGTCCAATGCAGAACATAATTCGTGTTTTGGGCAAACAGGTGCGGTTAGCTCTGAGAAAATCAACCTATACATTTTCTCAAAATACTGAGCAATCAAATTTGTTCCCTGGGCGACTGTTGGTGGTTGACTGCAGCCAGACTGGACGGTGTTTTACTATAAGCTCTCTAGTCCGCAACTGAAGGTAGTAGCGTAGGTGAACACCGCAAGAGAACAAAACGCATAGGAAAAGAAATTCGGGATGAACGTTTTTAACTTTACCCAATTTTCGTAACGCTCAATATTTAACATTATATTTTGGCGCCATGCTTGGGGCAGTTGGATAAATTTTGATAAAAAGATGCTCATCGGCTCATTGAAAATGCCACAAATATTTTCATTTGACATGATGATTGGCGGCTCATAGCGTCAATATGATGACAAGATGAAAAACATAGAAGCTTATTGAAGGAAAGCTTTGTCGGTTTTATACAAAACAATGGTGGGTGGATATTTACTCAGTATAAAATCGATGAAGGTGGGTAGGGATGATATAAGTGCAGAGGAAGTGCAGATGACATATTACAGTATGTGATTATGGACTAATGTTGAGAAGTGCTGTCCGCACAATAAACAGGATCTAGGACATACCGCTTTCAGCAGCTTTCCACAACCCTTTCTTGAAGATCATCTTTAGTTTTCTTTTCTTCTCGAAATCCGTTCCAAACACTGTGATGATCAATGTGGGTGGCTTCAAACCCCATTTTCGTTTGAGCAAGTCACGTATCACCTGATCGGTTGTGCTTCCATCCAGTTTGCAGAACTACATCAAAAGTAAGAAAACGTTCTGTAATTTGTTGTTGTACGATTAGAACGTTTCTGAAAGATTCACTAGTAACAAGTTTCATCGTTTTGTATATCAAGACAATTTTCAAGGGCAAACAAGTGGCTATCCCCTAAGTTGGGGTAGGGGGATGTGGAAACAATGATAAACGTCAAGTGAGTATTGATGAAGTTCAAAATTATGAAAGATGAGCTAAGGTATTACCGTCGGAAAAAGCAGTTAATAAAAAAATAAATAAACCAGAAAGGTTCCTAGCATGCACTACATTTAAACTTGATTGATGATTGTTTCTGTAGTATTTACTGTACAGTCAGTCGCCACAGATTACTACAAATTGCATTTGATCAAATCAGTGCAATAAATTTTCAGACAAATCGCAAACCATTTTCAATTTCGTGAACTAAAGTTTTCGCCCAGTTTATCCACGAAAAAAAATAGGATCAGTAAAGTTTAGAAACAGAAAGCCTCAGGGTATGGCTTCATTTAGTTAGATACAATCGACCAAAATAAGTGGGCCATTAGCAAATTGTGAAGCAGTAAACTCTGATGGGCCTAAGGGGCATTAAAAATGACCATTCTCTGTGCTATCTATTTTCTCAATTCAAGAGCTTTGGATAGGCCAAATGATTTTTCAACAATCACTATCAAAAGCAAGAGAAACCTTGTGAGAAATGCAAGCCTATCCGGAATTACTTTATTGAGCTATTAGGGATTAGTGTTTAATGTCAAATGTTTGTTTAAAAAGCCGTTGTCATCTATCTTGACCAAATAAGAAATCAATTGCAAATGACGTTTCACCATTCAAATGGTTCTCCTACATGAGCATGGATGTTCAGTTTCGTGCAATCCGCTCAACCAACCTAATATGCTTCTTTAAGTTGGCATTTCCGGCAACGTCATGTTTCCAGATTATGCTTATGATCACTACGATACGGATTCACTCGAAATATCGTCTGTTTATCGCCTGATTTTATCTAGACTGTTGTGAAATAAAACTCTTAATTTTCACAAGGGCAAAACGTTTATCGAGTGCTGCATGAGTGGAGTAAGTTAAAGAGAAACTGATTCATGTTCCAATTTGGATTGGCACAAATCTGTGGAACGATCATCCGATAGGTAAGTAGGATGACACAAACAAACATTAGACAAAGAGATGCTTATTAGTCAGCTCGTCCTGATGATCTATCGATTGTTTTACCAAGCATGCTTGCTACGAAGATTGAAAAATAGGTGAATGTTGATGCATTGCCTCGAAGAAATAATATAAATAAATAAATAAAATAAAATTCAGACCAAATTAGCGTCTATCAACATAGGGTTTTGATAGAGGACAAGCCTAAAATGAGATCTCTCCCAGTTTTTATTGGATAATCATAAATCATGAATCCAAAATTTGTTAGTTATTCATACGAATCATGGTATTCGTTGGTTCCTCGAGGACTGTATCTCAGTGACAGGCGCCAGAATAATAAAGTCTATTGCCATGGTGCATGCATGGATGCATCTAAGAAGTCAATTCTGTCTGGTGTATGTTTTTTCATGGTTGGAAACACTGAACAAAACGTGCGTTGCCACCTGAGGGAAATATTTCATTTAATAAGTCACATATGTTTTTGGTAATTTTTATCATATGTGCATTTCAATCAAACCCAATCAAGTAGTGGTTCTAATTTGCTATCAGTCGTGTATTCGACAGGACTTAAAAACCACGAATGAAATAACGTTCGTCATTGAGTCTGATTTTGTTTCACTTTGGTCGATAAAAGCAGACCTTTAAAATGTCAACTCAGTTGGCACTGAAAATCACAATGAATACACATGAACTATCTAGCTGAAGATTTTTACGGCTCTCAAGGTTGTGAAAAGCATTTATGTTAAGGTGTGAACTGGAGGTGGAATATTTGTATGCAATCTACCTAGTGTTCTTCTGTACTACTAAGGTTGTTCCTTTCTGATTACATTTAATAATACCGCCGGCAAGGCCTGGAAACGAACTGGAACAAATAAAGTAGGCATAGCCGTTCAATTTTACTAAGGCTGCCGAAGTTCTTCTTCACTAAAGGTAAAGTTTTTGTCATACCGGGGAAGATCTAACCTGAATTGAAATCTTATTTGGCAACTGCAACAAACTGTATTCTAAAGGGCGAGGCTTTCCCTATCTATAGTGCGTTTCTTCGCAATGTATCCTCATTTTGCCCATAATATCCCCGGATGTGATTGAGCCTGATTTTCTCAATTTATTTGTTGACTAGCATGAATCAGTTACTGTCATGCAGAATAATTTCAATAGAAAATAATTGTCGGTTAAAACAATTATTAATCAAAAGTAACAGTATTGTACTCGGAGACTTGGAAAGCTTTCCCCTTTTGATTCCAATCAGGTTTTCTGAAACAACTTCTCGCACTACATACGCGTCGCAAGAACTGTATCACTTGATGAATAGTAAGCAGCATTAGGAACATTTAGCTCAGATTCGATAAAAAATAATGCTTGTCAATATGAGTGTCTCCATCCCATATCCTACATCAGAAGGTACTAAATTGATAAAGTATAATTGAAAATGTGGAATGAAAATCAGATACTACAAAAAAAGAGATAATTGGGCATTCAGAATGCTAATTTGTTGAACACTACAGATGAAATCATCAAGATTTTTCAGTAAAACATGCATTCTAGGCGATAATTATGGCCTGAATAACAGGAAGGGTCGATGACCTTGCGACTCCTCCGCCGAGGGCGACTTTCCGGTTTCATCCGTTTGCAAATATAGACGGCTAATCAATTATTCAATAGTAGACATGAATAGATGTCAAAGCCATAGGTGTTTGATGAAAATGCTTCCGTATAGCTAGGCCTTACGAGGCTGCCCAACGAGATGTGCGACAGGAATGTACCTTTCGGCAGTGAAGATAGGAGACAGTGGTGCACTGCAAGATTTTCCCGAAACTCATAATACCTATACATCGTTTGAATCGAGTGCCATTAAAGTATTGTTTCTTTTATTTGTGAACCTTGTCGAATGGTGTATCGTGTTGACTGCAATTGTTCTAAACTGGTTGAACTACTTATGTACAACTTCTGAAAAGTGATAATTCATTTTAGGGCGAAGACAGGCTTGGTAAATGTGAATGGTATATGTACTTTAAGATAGAACAAGCAAACGGTAAATTCAAAAGCTGAAGGACCTGTAGAACTGGTTTATATATGGTTTGGTCGCATCAGTAGTGCAAATGCATTGACATTTCAAAGTATGGTTCGCCAGACCCCGCAAGTACACTAATCCCTCAAAAATGCAGAGATAGTAATTTGAAGTAGTAAATAGGAAGCTCAATATTTACTTAGGGATAACAGTTTCGAAAAAATGAATGATATACACATTCTCAAGAAATTGTAAGCCTGTATAATGTTTACAGTTCCTTTGGTACTTACTTTATCAAGAAACGAATTCCTTTGGGTCAAAAAACCCTTACACAATGCATCATTCAATTACTTGAGCTACTATGAGTATCTTTCGTTCAGAATCTGTGTTCGGCAGACTTAACATGTATATATGTTCATGTGAGATAAGTAACTGGGTGAGTCGTATACCTGAGGAATAACAACACAAAGCGAGTGAGATCGTGAGTGAGACCGATCGAGGGAGCGGAGTGTGGGAACGGCAAACAGACAGAATAGTGCATAATTTATGTGCAGAAAACGAAATATGTGAGGTGTGCATTACATTGATTAGTGAATCGTTTTGGTGAACTAAATAGATCAAGTGCGACCTGTAAAATTGCAAATTCGTGTTCTGTGGACGGAAGCAGTAGAAAACGCTTTGAATTTATCATCATTATATAATAACACGTATTGTGCCTTTTTCGAAATACATTCTTTTATTTAATTACGTGTGAGTTACCTATGTATTTGAATAATAGTCATAACGTTAGATTACAATTAAAAGTATACAATAATCGTTTGTAACTAGGGGAAAAACTGTGCGACAACGCCTTTCATAATCTATAGAATTGCCACAAACGTAATAATAATTTTTAAAAAGAAAAATTAAATTGAATAACATCGTTGAACTCACTTTTGCTGTTTGATTTAAACCAGTGAATTCAATTTCGCCCACAAACCGCTGCATAACCGAAGTTCTTCGAACACTAGCCTGATGTTGTAACGCAGTGGAGGCGGCTAGTGCACTCACACCGACACTATCCCCGGGGCCAACAGATCCGGTTCGGTTTACCGTACGTCTTACGGTTGACGTCCTATGGAACGGGATCTGTTCGGTCATGTTTATGAGCTAGTTCTGATTTTGTGGATGGTGATGATGATGTGTATGTGATTCAAAGGCACTGTATTTTCCGATCAAACAGAAAAACCAATGTGGTCACTGAGGAAACACAAATGACCACAATAGACCACCGATTCTACCACAGTCCACATCGGACGATGAAACACATCACAATCAGTTGTGCACTTGGATTCACCGATAGATTTGCTATATATTTTTTACAAAGAACATGCCATTCGCTTTGGTGTAATAATAGGCAAGATAAACTCGTGGATAGAGCAGAATTTGAAAGGTCTCACTTCATCGGGTAATTTCAAGGTAGTTTGTGGTGTTCGCACTTGGGCAGGAGTAGAATGAAGCGCGTGATTGGTCGAAATGTGCGACTGTGAGTCAAACTGGGTTCAGGTCAGGTGAGACAAATTTGATTGGTTTATTCCATCCCCGGGCGTGTACTGTTACAACAGCCTATTCACGTGCACGGTAATGCATCGGACAGCAGATGCAACAGCGATCTACGCAATGTTCCTGCGTATCCGCGCGTTTAGGGTAGCAGTATGGTGAATGGTCTGGTTAGAAATAATAAAAGGCAAACTTCAGTCCCAACAACCCAGCTCACCATAGTTTGTTTCAAAAACCGAGTAGACTAATTTAACAATCTTAGGTCAAGTGAATATTGGAATTTGTTTCGGATCATGACTCATATGGAGTTCATAACTGCCCCGTATTGAAATAGTGGAACGGTCAAGTGTACCTCACAATGTTATTAACCACATGAGATCTAGGAAAATGCACATTGCGATTTCAATAAGTAGAAAGTATAAACAATTATATTTTACCTCCTCTTTTGTTATTTAAGTATAAAAGTGTACCTTCAGCTTTTGAGAAGAGGCAGTGACTCAAAAAAACCTGCCTGCGGAAACGTAGCACAAGGCTGACACGGACAAAAAATAAACTAACCGAAACAGCACGAGCACAAACTTTACGTGATGCGTTGTAACATTCTGTTTTATGTGCACATCTTGCAATTCATTTATTCTTGCGGAAAACTGAATTATTTAAATTGTTATTGAAAGTAATATGAATTATGTAGATTTCAGAACATAATGCATGAGGTTTATTTTTAATCTTTAAAAAGTGACTTCTGGCTAGAGGTTTTGAAGTTAATAATTTACAGAAGACTTAGAAAAAACAATTTACTAAATTGCTCTTCAAGCAATCTTCAAAGTCGTGATAGGAATTCAAAAATAGGTATTCTGCTACGTAGCTAAATCCAAGCTTATTATGGTTATGCTTGCTAGGTAAACCAAATAGATCCGAAAACCAAGAAACCAGAAATCCGTTTCCAGCTCCTATGCACAGCGGTTTACACCCACGAACGGATTCTTAACAGCCGAATGCGGAGTGATTTTAAGGGAAGAGCTGGGACTGACGGTAGGCAGGGGCTTTCTGGGAAGGGGATTAAGTTTAAGATGCAGTAGAAGAACACAAAATCACCGTGGACCAGAGGATCCTGTGAAAAGCAGACTTGACTCGAATTCCAGCTGGGATGACTAGGTGCCGAAGGCGTTTAACAAATATTCAATCTTTTGTCACTTGCAGTGTGCACAAACAAACCCAGTTTTAACTGAAAACAGTGATATATTAGAGCTTCGGCTTACTGCTTCGTCATAAGTAGTACAAAAGTTCAACGAGCCTCAATATTTTATTGACCGTATTTCAGATTTATACTACATCAACCATCATTCTTTCAGGTAAAAAGAAATTAAAAATACTTTGCACAACCCAAAATTAGTGGCAGAACATAAAGAACCAATAGTGCTAGACGGTTGATTACTCGCTTATTTCTTCTGGCTTCCCTATAGCCTATGAGACGTTTTAAATCATTTTATATAGGTTATATATATAATGTAATAATATTATTATATTATATGATTATATATTAGACATCATGCTGTTTTATATCAGTCTATTCTGCGAAAAACTCTGTTACCTATGTTTTTGATGAGTGCCGGTGAAAGTGAGGTGTGAGAGATGGAGAAAAGTAAAACATTACTCACACCGCCTACACCAACTTCTATATACAAAATGCAATCTGATCTGAAAGTTGTTCGAAAGATTCTTTAAGTTGCCTACTTCAACAACGTCCGTAATGACGAAATTCACAAGCGCGGCTACACTGCAATATCGATATTGGCTAGTTGAGACCAGTTCAATCAGTCATCCTTGATCTGCGGATCAGAAATGTCTTTAAACTGGGCTAAGTTAGGTTTTCACGTATGAATGTGTTTGAGATCAACTGTTCGTCATAATTAATTGTTCATCACGCCTAGTGATCCAATGAGTTATCACCCGTGCACCTTGATTAATTTATGTGAAACCCGCTACGCGCCTTTATGAATGCCTATTATTTATAATTTATCATTTATTCAGTGCTACATCAAATCTATCTTCCAAGTATTTCAACATATTCTCCGCTATTAGTCGAAACATATCGATGACAAAGATCTGCAAAATTTGTCGTTCCATAGCTGATTAAACAATGCAATACCACATTCACTTACTTAGTGTTGTCAATCCAGTGGAACGCAATAATGGTTTCAGATAGCGACAGTCAAAAAACTATTGCAATGCACCTCAAAACTCCAAAGGGCGAAAAGCTTGTAGCTCTTGTAGTATTTGGGACTAAACGCCATCGGTTATGCCGAGCGTTTTCAAACTTACAAGCTAGTTTAACTTCTCACTAAAAGCTTCAAGATCTTGCCCACCTCTTGGAATGTTATGGCACCACTTTTTCAGCACACCAATGTTTCGGCAATGAAAACATGTGTGATTTGGTTGCATAAATAACTATTCGAAAAGTGCAGATTTGTTATTCAAGAGATCTGTTTTACATTTTTCTTTGATGCATCATCAGCTATTTCACGCCGATTCGGCTCTGATTACGGATTTCGGCAGTGGTAAAAATTGCAGTCAGAAGCAGTATTGGGCTTCGATTGTTCATGCGCTAGCGCAAAACTGTATTTACAGAGTCAGAGCGGTTTGTAATCTCAAGTGGCATGGGTATGTGTGAGATGGAAGAGGGGAGGGGGTGA